ACTTTTTTCCTGCCGCTGGTGGAGCTGCGGCAGACAGAGATGTACACCAACAGCATCGCTGCCTTACTGCAGGAGGCCAAAGGTCAGGGGGCACGAGGGGCACCTGGGCTGGCTGAGGGGACAGCCAGGAAGGGCATGGACCCCAGGAGGTTCCTCTCTTTCTTGGGTTGGTTTCTAAGGCAGAGGGAGATTGTTCTTGCAGCTGGTTCATGGACACTATGCACCTTGGCCATGGAGGATTTGGCCCATCTTCTCTGCCTATGGGTGGCCTCAAATGGCCCTTTATCTTCTTGGGGTGTCCATCAGTTAACACTCTGTTAGTGAACACTCAGATCAGGTGGAGGTCCCAGGACACCTCTTGTCATCACTCATTGACATCCTCATTGTGGTTGAAGTTGTACATTTAGCAAGCTCAGGAAAATGCTTAGCATGCATCAGCATTTAAAGAGGTTCTTCAACCTTCATTAGGCAACAAACCAACCCAAGATGTAGGTCACTATACTTCCAGCTTTGTTTTCTGGAGATGATACAGAATTCCCCAGAGGTGAAGGTCAGTGTGTTAAGGAGGTTTGTGTATTGCCCTGCTGGAAAAAAACACTTGTGAACCAACATGGGAAGTGAGGAATGGGCAGAGACTTCCCTTTATGGAGATATTGCACATTAGGTTTGCATTTTTGGGGCAGTGTCACAGCTCTATTTTTTATCATGTTTTCTTGCCTGTGGTTTCCCTGTCAAAACATCTCAGATTTCGGAAAGATTTTTGGCAAAGTGTTTCTGATTTACGGAGTCTGTGGTGGAGTTGCCTGGGATCTATATATAAGACTCTGGAATTGTGTCATCAGAGTTCTATCCTAGTGCACTTCTTCCAGGAAACAGGAGTGACAAATAGCCCAGGCTGGATGGGGTGTGGAGCAGCCTGGGCTGGTGGAAGGTGTCCCTGCCTGTGGCAGGGGGTGGGACTGGATGAGCTTTAAGATCCTTTCCAACCCAAACCATTCCATAATTAGCCATGTCTTACCTACCTAATGAAGGGGAAATTGTTATTCTACCCTTGTCCATTAGAGAAAATCAGATTGTAGATACATTAACTCTGCTGAAATGTGTTGGTTGGATGTTAGGAGGAATTTCTCCACAGAAAGAGTGATTAGACATTGGAGCAGACTGTCCAGGGAGGTGGTGGAGTCACCATCCCTGGAGGTGTTCAAGGAGAGACTGGAGGTGACACTCAGTGCCGTGGTCTAGCTGCCATGGTGGTGTTAGGCCATGGGTTGGACCCAATGAGCTCAGAGGTCTTTTCCACCCTGACTGATCCTCTGTTTTGCTTATTCAGGTTTAATCTTCTATGACACAAAAGTCACTGTCATGAACAGAGTGCTCAATGCCACCGTCCAAAGAACTGCTGACCACGCAGCCCCAGAGATCACCCTGGATCCCTTGGAGATCGTTGGAGGTATGAGGAACACGGATCCTTCTCACAACCCATTTTAACCCGTTCCGGGTCAGGTCTGCTCACCCAGGCTCAGCTGCTGGTTCATGCCAAGGCTTGAGCTTGGTGTTTATTTTCCCAGGGGAGATCCGTTCCTCGGAGAACTCCTACTTCTGCCAGGCGGCGCGGCAGCTGGGCTGTGTGCCCTCCTCCCAGCTCTGCGTCAAGCTGGCCAGCGGCGGCGACCCCACCTACGCCTTCAACATCCGCTTCACCGGGGAGGAGGTCCATGGCACCAGTGAGTGGGGACACCTCGGGGCCCCTCACTGCAGGGAGCACATCGGGGTGGGAACGGAGCGTGGGAAGGGGCTGGAGCACAAGTGCTATGAGTTGGGGCTGTGGGAGCTGAGGGTGTTTAGCCCAGAGGTTGGAGAGGCTCCAGCCTGTTGGGTTGGCTCCTGTTGGGAGGTTGGAGAGGCTCCAACCAGGCTCTGCTCCCAGGGAGCTAGTGACAGGAGAAGAGGACACAGTCCAGAGGAGGTTGAGGTTAGACATTAGGAGGAATTTCTTCCCACAAAACATGGTTAGACACTGCGATGTGCTGCCCAGGGAGGTGGTGGAGTCACCATCCCTGGAGGTGTTTAAGCAGAGACTGGACGTGGCACTTGGCACCATAGTCTGGTTGACTTGGTGGTGTTTGGTCATTGGTTGGACTCAGTTATCTCAGAGGTCTTTTCCAACCTGATTGATTCTGTGAACTTGCTCCAGCTAGAACCTGGCTGGTGTTCACCAGAACCTGGCTGGTGTTCCCATCATGGATCAGCATTCCCTTTGTGGTGCCTGTAGGCCTGCAGGTGGAAAAGATGGAATCTCCTGTTGGATGTTGGCTTTCTCTGAGGGTGTTGGCTCCTCAGGTGCTCTGTGGGTGGTGTGTGTGTGCCAGGAGGAGATTTGGTGTAAACATGAGCAGAGGGAATTGAGCTTTGCCTTCTCCCAAGAGGAGTTCTGTTCTTTGTAAGGCCTGCGGTGGTTCCTGACATTGTCTGTAAGGAGGTAAATGTGATATCTGTGGCTCAGCATCTGCACAGATCTCTGGTGCATCACCTCCCTGCTCTCAGCTGTGGGAGCACTGTCATGCCCAGCACCATCTGTCTCATCCACTACCAAATCCCATCCGCAGGCAAACTGGTGGAACTGGCCTGG